TATTATTATTATTATTATTATTATTATTATTATTATTATTATTATTATTCGTGTGTACTGCATCTCGGTGGTGAAGGCCAATCCAATTAGTTAACAAATTACAAAGGATCGCCTACCTTCCGCCAGCAAAGCATATGGAATTATTTGACGTTTTCAGCTTGCAAGTGTCATTCGTGGAAGGACAGCTTAAAATGCTGATGACACGTTTATGATCCGCAGAGTTCTGTTTTGACTTTTTTTCCTTTTGCTCTTTGAAATGGTGTACCATTTCCCCCCAACCCCTTCCAAAGCTCGCCTCATCAGTGTGTGTGGGTAATTATAAAAACATTTCTATTAACCTCCCTGGGGTCATTGCGTGCGGCTGGAGTAATTCTAAAGGTAATTGCTAAATTTACACCGTTTCGCAGGAGCAGAGCATGTATTCTCCTCCTCTCCTCCTTTTTTTTCCAGCTGCTTCAGGGTCATTTCCCCGGTTCCAGTTGGGTTTTTGCAAATAGTCCGTGTACGCAGAGGGTTTCAATCAAGACTGCAGTATGCGAGGGAGAGGAGCAATGCAGAGTTGTTCAGCTCTTTACAAGCCAACGAAATCGTCCAGGGGTACTAATGGGGCTTAGTTCCCATTGCACCGGGGAAGATGGGGTTCCAATTAGACGTGGACTGGTTGCAACGGTTTAAACCCCCCTTCCCCCACACTAGCAATTAAAAAAAAAATTAACTCCACGAGGATTGCATTGCAAATCTTACGGCCCTACTGGTACGAGATGCTTAAATGGATTAAGAAGGGTTGTGTGTCGTGCAAACCCCCTAACCCAATTAATTAGGCCAGACAGCGGACCCAGAGGGGGTTAGCTGGAGCCCCCGAGAGCCACAATAATTGGCCAGCAGGACTGTCACCACCAGCTTCTTCAGGAGGACAATCCCTAAAGGGAAAGGAAGCCACAGCAAGACACCCGAAACCCACGTAGTCCTGTCGGCAGCAGATAAAATACATTTAGCAGTCCAAGATGGTTGCGGAATAGGTTAGAATATGTTAAGTTGGGAGGAGAAGGCTGCGCGTGGTGGTTTGGATCAGGCTGTTCTTAGGGTACCACTCTGTGGCCATCTCATTCCATGTTTTTTCTCAGGATGGTGCTGTTATCCGTACCTCCTTTACCTGGATTCTTCCCCCATGTGTCTACCTCACCTTCCTGGAAGCCGGTAAAGCAGGAATCGTTCCTCCTGTGGAGTAAGCTTAGCCAGGGGGGTGCAAAGGTGATGGGCAGGGCGAGTAGGTGGAGGAAGACACCCCCTGAGCGGCTTCACCACCTTTCTTAATTTTTTAGGTTTGTTACCTGCCGCAATCCGAAGACGGCTGGCAACTTGCAGGATCCTCCAATACGTTCAAACCTCCGCAGAGTGCTATTAATAACATGAAAAATACACAGAGGAGAAAGTGCAGTCTCCGTGAGGTTGGAGCAAGCAAGAAAGCTTGCTCCTCCAGCTGGGGAGGTTGCTACCAGAGATAGAAAACGCAGCCGTCTTGGCAGGCGAAGTTGAGTCCAGTGTAGGAGAGAGGATGGTGTAACAGGAGCTGCTGGGAGCAATTTTAGCCTATTCCTTCAGTGTCCTTTCAGCAGAGTTGCTCTTCCAGCCCCTCACCCCTGGACTTAATGTTGTTTTTTTTTAATTTTTACAGCAGGGCTGTGGGCAATGTCAGCAAGGACTTCCCTTCCTTTGTTTAACCTCTGACCTGTGAGTGCAGGAGTTAATCAAAGGCCCTGAAGGAGCAAAGAGGAAGAGGAAGTTCTGGGTTGCAAATGAAATAGGAGCCGTGCCCCATAAATCCCCAAGCGGGCCACCAGTTTCCCGGTCCGTCAGCTCCGGCCGGAGAAGGGTGTTGGGCGGACTCATCCAGCCCCTGTCTTTTGAAGGAGAATCGCAGATAAAACGGAGAAAGCAGAGACTCCCGAGATAAATTCTCCCCTCCCTGCTCTGCTTTCTTCAGCTCCGCTGGTAGAACTTAAATGAACTTGGAAGAAGAGTGTGAAAGAAAGAAGGAATCCCGCATGTCGGGTGGCTGTGCTTTGACGGGATCAAAGCCGTGAACCCAGCGCACCTTTGGGCATGATTCACAAGCCCAAGAGAGAGCCGAAAAGGTTCATTGGGGGCTTTTTGTGGGTTCTGATCGAGCACAAAGAAGCCAGCAGGATGCCTTCTTTCCCCCCTCCCCCTTTCCCTGTGGGATTTCCCAGGGCTTTGAAATTGGCCCAAGTCTCCCCTTATACCTGAAAGGAGAACACCTGCCAAGTTTTTTCCCCAGGTGAAAAGACAAGGCAGGGCTCCTGGGAGCTCTCCGGGAGTTGTCAGCGCCTGTTTGGAGCCAAGGAAGTTGGTCTGTGGTTGCTTAGCAAAGGGAGCCCAGCTCCCTAAGGCAGAGCCTGGCTTGATATTTAAGCCTTAGAGAAAACCCGAAGCTTACATCAGATGTGCTGGCTGTTTAGGCCAGCCACTGCATGTTGCGGTGCCTGTCGGCTGCTCGGTTAACAAACCGCCGTTTGAAATGCCGAAGTCTCCATTTTTCATGGAGTTTTAGCGTTCCTCATTTGTGCAAGATCTAGGCTTTTTCTGTAGGTGAGGGATATTTCCTCCCCTCCCGTGCGGCTTCCAGACAATAAAAAAAAATAAGCACAGGGAGGGCTGCTTTTTGCTGCAACCAGAAAGCCTCACCTGGCAGGATCTTATATTCTGACTATCATGTTGCACCGGGAACCACGGTAGGAATGGGATGAAGCTGGTTACGTTCCACACGCAAGGAAAATAACCTGGAAGTGGGTTAAATGGAGGGAAATTATATTCTTTTCCAGTCTTGAGTCCTTGGGTCACTGCAGTCATCTTCTACTAAGAATTGAGATTATTTTATTGGGATTGGGTGGGTGGGAATTTAAACGGGAATCTCTTCCTGGCCTATAAAGTTTCATGTTCTCTCTCGTGGCTGACACAGCTGCTTTAATGAGCCCCATACATTCTGAAAGCAGCCCAAAACGCTAAGTTTTAATAGGATCGTTTTAAAGTAATGGCACTTTTATGAAAAAGGCTGGAGCTCCAAAGCTAAGCTAACAGCCGTCCGGTCTGTCTGTAACATTTGGGCGCCAATACTTCCAGTAGTGCCTCCCTAATTGCACGGAGCAGGTTTTCCTTTAAAATCCAAAGTTAGGAGCTGGGAAAGAGAGAAGGAAAGGAAGCTTGTGATGTAGTGCCCTAACTACAGTTGTAGCATAATTCTGTAGGATTTCCCTTGAGATACCTCAACAGCGACAAAATCAAATGTGTGAAGAAGTTGAACCCCTGCCTTTCCTTCTCAGTGCCTCTTTGCCTCCCTGGGTCTTTGCCAGATTGCCTTTTAATCTCTGAGCGAGCTTCCCAAGAGGCCCTTTTTCTCTCCAAGGATGCTTGGGGTGATTTGTACAACTTTAACGAGGAAATCAGAATTTTATTCATCCCTGAAATTCCCTTCCTCTCTCCGGAATGTTTACATTCTGAGACCAACCCCCTGTTTCAAATCAGTACATTTCTCCCAGCCAACCACTGGCCAGTGGTTTCTTGATAAGGTTCGGGGTGTATTAATAGATGGGATAATCCTGTCCCAGAACGTGTAAAGTGAAAGACTTTATCAGCATAGGCTTGACCGGTTTCCTCAATTTTAACCAAAGTCTTCCCAAACAGCAGGCGGATTTGATGGTAGCACTGTCCATCCATGATCTGGTCATTTGTTGTATCTCGCTTCATTTATCGCTGTGGACTGGCCCTTGGAGCCACCATTTTCTCCCAGGGTCCAAGCCATCGGTCTCAAGTTAGAACCGTTGCTCTTCGCCATAGGAGTGAACACTCCCCTTTTCTCCCCTGAACACTTCCCCGTGATTTTAAAGGCATTCCTGGCTGATCTTTTTTAATCGCCTAAAAACCATGCTGTGAAAGTCCAATTCAAGACTTCATGATGGCGGTCTTCAAGACGGTTCTCCTCCATGCAGGGAGTCCGTGTTTTCCTGGAATGCAGATCAGCACCTGGCAGAACTTAGGGAGCCTTCATCCACTCCCAATATTTTCTGATTTTATCTCAGGGATTGGGGCATACAAGGAGTGGTGAGATGCTGGACATCTGCTCCCCCCTTCCAAAAAAGCTCCATTTGCTCGCCCTTTTTATATACATTTTGCAGCAGGAAGTGTTTTTCATAACATTAATTTGTGAACATGTGCTCTTCTCTTTTTTTAGTTATCTCCCATGGTTTGAAGTCTTTTATAAACTGCTCAATGTTCTGGCAGACTACACAATGAAGGGCCAGGTAAATATCTAGGTCACTCTTCTGGGTGACTTGCCACGTGTCTCGAGCATTTGAATATGTGTGTATATTTGAGAGAGATCCAGAGTGTGTGTATTAAAATGTAAAATTTTACCCTTTGCCAACATCAGAGGTGACGTAACCCATCTTTGGTTCAGCTTTTGAAGACAATTCCAGATTATTTCACTAGCGTCTGCAGGACAAATTTTTATAAAGTAAGAGTATTCAATTCATAGGGAAGAGAGGAAGAAAACATTGCTGTGGACTTCTTTCCCTATCCCTCAGTAAAGCCAAATAATATTTGATTCTGTTCATTGTTGTTTTGGTATCCCCTGTTGAAATATAGAGATGATAATGGTTCACAGGCATTTCAGATTAGAATATGCTAAATAAGGAGATAGGTTTCTCAGAACTTTACTTCTCTGAATTGGTTCCTATGTATTAGATTTCAGAAACTGCCTTATTTTATGTTCAGACTTACTTAATCTGCAGGATCATTCATTCTTCAGCAGATTTAGAAGGTATCCCTTGGTACACCTTAGCTCCTGATACATAAGCTGTCTTATCATGGCTGGCAAAATGCCTGCCATTGTTACTAGTAAAATGGCCTGTCCCAGTTTGGTGTCATCCAACTGAGTGGAGGTTCATCTCCCAGAATTTCATGATGATTGGGAATAATAGGAATTGAAATTCAAAGCATCTGCTGGTTACCAAGTTGGTGGAGATGGATGTATGGAGAAAGGGCTTCTGAATGGATGCAATGGGTCTCTGAGTCTTTGAGAACCCCATTGTGCAACTTCTGTCAGAAGAGGCCATCTTTGTCCTGGCTGTTGCCTTAAATAGATTGGCAAGTGATCATTTGTCCCAGAGGGGGGAAATATAGGGGTTCCCTTGTTGACAGAAGTAAGATGGACTTCTTTCTTGCTCCTGCTGAGGTCGACATGGAGAAAGCCAAGCCGTTTTCTATCTCTCATTAATGAGAGGGAGGGAGACAGATGGTCCTCTCCCAAAGAACCTAGCAACCTTACTAAAACCACCTCATTTCTTCTTTGTTTCAGGACAGCCAAAGATGTGAACTTCTGCAGACACTTTATAGACTACCGATTCCTGAGCCAGCCACTTCTGTTCATCTCAGTGTGGTAAGCATTCCTAAAATGGGAAACGCGTGTGGGGTGTGTGTGTTTATTTGGAAAAGGTTGCAGCTCTGCAGCTCTTGCCTTGGGGAGAAGGGGAAGCACCACAGAAGTCCCAGGAGCAGAAGGAGAAGAGTGATCTTTTCCCACTCTTAACCCCCAACATTTGCTTGGCATAGGCCCTGATGGACATGTCCCAAGATGCCCATGATTTGAAACAGCACCAAGCCTACTTGCCTGAAAAGGGTTTGGGCTGTTAACAAATCCATAACTTGTATTTAGCATCGCTGTATTTCGGACTGTTGGGTTGTGTTCCATTGTGGTCACGACGTCAGCGGTGCATGTTCGAAGTTCTTTTGTTCAAGCAGTAGAGTGTAAATATGTCAGAATAAATGGAGATCTTGGGTGCAATTTTTTTTCTTTCTCTCCATCCTTCCCTTCAGCACTCTTACTTTACGGTGCCTGACACCAGAGAACTTCCCAGCATACCTGAAAGTGTAAGTAGCTGCTGCGAGTGTCGCTCTTCGTAAATGATGTAACAACAGACGGGATTCCAGAAATCCTACACTAGGCGTAGGGAAGAAACGTCAGGAGAACTGAAGACGCGTGGAAGTGCTTGTAGATCAAAACAGAAGGCTTGCAGTCCAGTTTTAGTTTGGGCCACCAAATAACCATTTACGGGTTAATTTTTTATGAATTTCCACCTCATAAGTATGGGACGGCACCTGGAGAGCATGACCGATTGCATTTGGGGCGTTATTTTGGGAGAATTACTCAGCCTATTACTCTTACAGTGGCACGTGCTTGAATCATCTCCTTTGCGTTGAATGGGATGAAAATTATATTTTTATCGTTGCCCCACCAGATTCTTAGTTCAGGTCCCACCCACTGTTTTGTAGGGGGGCCCAGCCAGCAGCAAAAGCCAGCTGTGACCCCTGGCCTCAACAAGGTTATCTGCCCCAGTGCTCAGTTCATATAATCTTCTGGGTGTTTGCTCTGAGCCTGCCCGGATAAGTTTTCACAGTTGACCACTCCCAAAAAATCTTTTGTAGGAGACTGACTTCTTCTCTTTCCATTGATGGACATCTCTGGGTGTGTGTTGACATTGGAGCAGAGACGATCAGGCACCCATCTCAGTTTTCTGCTCTAGTTCTTGTGGCTGGTTGCACTCCGTGCTCTGTGTGTGATCACACGTGTTGGTTCCTTTCTTCTTCGCCACCATCTTTCCTATCTGGCAGTGTTTGTTGGAAGAATTCCTACTGTATGAGACAACTTCCCATAGCATTTGAGCACCCCACACTCTGAGTGCTTGTGAATCAAAGGATTTTATAAAAACTGAAGACTTTCTGCCGGAAAGACTTGGAAAGGCTTTCAGTCTTGCAGGTTCCCTCTGTGATAAGGGTGTGGCTGGTGGTGCTTGCAGGTATCTTAATTTAAATTGTCATAGAAATCAAGGGCATTTGGGGCAAGGGGGAACAACGGATGTGGTAAAAAACCACAGATCTGGACACTTTGATTCAGCTTTGCGTGTGTGAATGTTGGAGCAAAGGAAAACAAATGCGAAATTTTTGCAGAGGCTGGGCATTATTGCCATTTGCAGTCGATCCTTCCTCCCCTTTCTGGCTCTGAATTCTACCCACGTTATGTTTTGGATGTGCATCTGATTTAAGCCCCTTGCATACCATTCATAAAAATATGTTCATTAACTGCGACAATATTCTGCACGAGGAAATCTTGCATAAAATATTCAGGACTCAGCTCCCAGTGCTACAGCCGAGGAAATGGAATTGTGTCACCTGAATCTCTTTGGAATAAAGCTGCCCCTTTGGTTTTTTTTGGTGGGGGCTTTGATAGCTCCAGAAGAGCAAAGAACAGGCTGGTTCCTTTTCTGGCTCAGAAGGCGTCCCATCCCTGTGTTAACCCTTCCAAGCTCATTATAGATTCAATCTGCATCAAGCTTCAACCTTCCTGTTAGACCTAAATCGACAGCCTAGTTAGATTAGGCTCCGTTGTGGTTAAATCAGGCCTAGTTTTGGGTACTTCAAGTGCAGAAACAGCTAGTTGCTACAGAGTAAGTCTGAAACTATGACCCCCAAGGGCCCCACCCTTGATTTGGCTTCAGAATTCAGTGGAGAGATCTTACCTTTCTCCTTGGTGGCTTCATGCTGACACCCTCCATACATTTTCCACAGGGACTGTTACGTTTTGTGTTTGACGGGTGCACCTGACCCCCAATTCCTCCTTGCCCCCCCTTTTTGGATGGCAGCTTGGAATCCTCTGCTTCGAAGGGCATTCTTTGCCTTGGGCATAATCACAAAAGCACCAGAATAGCTTGGACCCACCTCTTGCAGCTTGGCACCCTTGCCCCTGTCTGTCTTGCAAAGCAGGAAGAGGCATTTGCTTTTCTGAAAAGCCCATTTGTGTTTTCCTTCCTGTGGTCCTGCCTGTTCCCCTTGTGGTCTCAGGATAATCCCCAGTCCTTCAGGAGCCCAAAGCTTCTGTGGAAGGGAAATAACCTTCATGAGCCCTCCCTACACGTTGCTCCATCAAGGTATCAGAGAACGGCTGTCACGCTTCAGCAATTTTCAGAAATTAAACATTAAACATGATTTTATTATTAATTATTATTAATTATTAATAAATTAAACATTAAACGGTCAAGTTCCTTTCTGGTATTTTTTGGGGAAGGGTCAATTTCTTCTTCCTTCTGCTCTGTTTCCCACCTTGGTGTAGCTCATTCAGCACGGGCAGCATGAAAGAGTGCCCCACCCCCTTTTTGGTGGTGAGGTCTCTTTGTTTCTGCTCACCACAAATGGAGACCTGGTGTGGATTCACGGCCATCCCATCGTAGACCCTGTGGCTCTTCTGAGTTGCATATCGTAGCAGAACGGAGACAGCCTGACCCCAAGACCAGGTAGCAGGGACGGGCCTGCCAAGTTACCTCCATGCGCTGCTGTTGTATCTGCACCACTGTGGCAGGAAGTGGCCACCACTTCCAAACAGTTTCTGTTTAGACACAAACATCTTGCTAATCAGCACAGATGGAATAAGAACCACGGGGAGGGAGGAGCTGCATGCCAGTTGAACGGGTTTATTTTAAAACAAAATCGATGTTATTCTCCTACCTGGAGAATCTTCTACCTGGATGACTCGCACTCCTAGCTGCCCACTGAGGCTTGGATGAAACCAACCGACCTCACCCCTTCTGTTTTGCTGTCCGTGGTCCTGAACCGGGCACTTCTGAGTTCGTATCAGCCCTCTGTGCTAATCACTCTGGCTGCCTTGTGGAAGAGAACGTATTTTTATAAAAATCTGCAGAAATCTCAAAGAAAGGTCATCAAAGACTGATTGTTTGGGTGTAAGTAAGATATCATAGAGGATTTTCCATGTTATAAGGCAATAAGTCTATTTTGGTTGGCCGCACTGTCAACCAGATGTTTAGACTGGATTTGGCATTTTAATCCACCTGTCAAGTCCTTCCCGAGGACCTGGGATAGCCAGATGTGGTTGTCTGTTGTTGTTATTATTACTAAGATTAATATCCTGCCGTTATTTTACCTTTTTGTATTATTGTGTTGTTATTACACTGTATGAAATGTTGCTTTATGACTGTAAATGAATGAATGTCCTTTGAATAAACCTCGGTGCATGTACTGTGGTTTCAATTAAAAAAAAATCGCAAAACACAGTAGGGGACAGAAGCTCCCAGCTGGTGGGGTATAAGGTTTGTGGACACGTGTCTTTTTTTCTCCCAGAAATATCTGAGCGCCTAGAGGCACTGAACACTTATTTATTTTCCAAGCATTTATATAGCTGTCCCCCACTCAACCAATGTGCCTCTGGACAGTGTCCAGCAAAATAAACATGAAATTAAAAAATACCAACCATATATCATTAAAAGATAATAAAGGGATACTGAAGCTGGCACTTAGTTGTAGAGCACACAAGGCTCCCATTTAATTCTTAAATTAAAATTAAAATAATTTTTAAGAAGGGGGAAAGCACTGGTGAGCCTGGAAGTCAGCAAGGATACCCCAGGTCTAGGTTGCATCTCCCACCCAAGTTCAAATCTGGTCCTTTGCTAAGCAGTGCCTTTTAAGGGAGAGCTCCTTTCAGGCAGTGGGCAGACATGATGGGAATGGATCCCCTATTTAAAAGTTTCAGTTCTCTGCAGGGCTTGTCCCATATCATTGTTAGCCACCATGACGGGGCCACCTTAGAGGCTAGCGTGATAGTAACTCTGGTGAGTCCCGCTCCCCCCTTGGCTGAAGACAACTTCTTAAAGATCCTCCATTTCTTCTCCTCCCTAGAGAAATCTGACCGAGTACTTCGTAGCTGTGGACGTCAACAACATGTTGCATTTGTACGCTAGCATGCTCTACGAGCGCCGCATCCTCATTTGCTGCAGTAAACTGAGCACGGTAGGTTGGGGAGGGAGATATTAGCAATGGACCCTAACGGACTAATCCACGTGGGCCAGGCCCTGCAAGAAGTTAGCTCAGCTCTACCTCCTGGGGTAACAATCCTCTTGGACTAACCAAGGATGAATCCTGTGCGTTCTTCCCTGGAGGAAATGCAAGATACAGCCCTGAAAATGCGTTGGACAGAATGATCGGTTCATCCACACGCATCCGGGAGATGGTTTTTCAGCCTGCTCGAAACACCAGGATTGGTGCTTTTATGATTAACTGTAGTTTTTTTCCTGTACAGCCTTGGTGGCCCAGGATAAACCACAGCAGCCCTGGGCAGCTTGAACTAACTCACTTCTTTGCACTGGAAAGTGCCAACTTTCCCCTCTTGATGTGGGCGCTTTGTAGTAACATTTATGGGGCGTTCGCTGCGCCACATCGATGGATAGATTTTTGTCTGTTTGTTTTCTGGGGGAAAAAAGAGGTAGGACAGAAAAGAATGGATAAACGATGCTTTCAGATGGATCTTCTCGTGACCTCGTGGTGAACTCGGACAGGGGATGACACGAGTCGTGTTTTTCCGCAATTTTGTTTGATAAGGATGCTGGCTTAATGCTACTTAGAGTCCATCAGTACACGAGAGATGAAAGCCGCACGCACTTAAGGTCGCTCTAAAAATGGCTCATTGCATTACTTTAAAAAAAAACTACTACCCTGCAATGTTCCAGTTTGATTTAGTTCAAAGTTTAGATCTCTGCATTTCAAGGTTTTAGCAGTAGCAATAGGTTGCTGGTTTTTTTAAAAAAAAAAAAGAAGAAGAAAATGTTAAGTTTTTCTAGCTGTTTGCTCAGCGAATAGATATTGATCGGGGAGGGAGCCATTTTGCCCATTTCATTTTGCTTTGTTTTCCCCTTAATAAATGGCAAATGATTTTTTTCCACCCTAATGCTGTTGACTTAAATAGTCATATGCTATTATCTGGATCTGGAGAGACTCCGCATCCTACAGCCCGATCTTGATACTCTGACTGTTGAACTGACTTCTAGCAAAACCGGCGGTGAAAAATATTTTTGTTTTCTGCACGTGTCCCTTTTATGATAACCTGCCATTTGCCTGCCATTCCAAACAAAGCAAAATGAAAACTCTGTAGTCCCACAATAAACAGGATGAATGCAGGAGACCAATTCAAAGGGAAAGCGGGATACGTTGCCCTCCCTCTGAACTGGCTTTGTGAAGCAAATGATTCAAAATGAGGACAGTGTTTCTAGCTTTGACTCTGTACGTTGAGAGAGGAAGTGTAAGTGTAGATTTACCTCTTTCTCTAAAATTACATTGTGACTCCCTTCTTTTTATAATCTGTCCTAACGGTCAAAACCATAGATCATAACTTCATTTTTCTTTTCTTTTCTTTTCGTAATCTGTAGGCCAACCACTTCCCTGGTTTATTTGCAAACTCATTTTTTTTGGTTTTGTTTTGCATAATTCATTTTTATTTCCATTTCTCCCCACTTATTTCATCTCCATTTGCCGCTCTCCCATGGAACTACTGCCAAAACCCTAAAATGGAAGATCGGTAGATGAATAAAACTAAGTGAATGTTGTAGTTTCATAAATGGCATTTCAAGACTCCGTGTCCATGAGAGTGGCTTGGCTGCTCACCTGTTCAGTTTCCTCGCAGTCGTTCAAAGGGCGGGTGCTTCAGTATCTTCATATGAATTTGTAGTAAGATTGGTGTCCTTTTTATTCCTGGAAGTTGGATTTTTGATCTCATTAGCTTGGTTTCGATTCCAGCCACAACCTTTTGTTGAGTTCACCGAGCTGCCAAACAGAGTAAAGAATAAACGAACACAAGCGCTTTATTATTCAAATGGATTAATTTTCTAGTATGTTCAGGAAGCCAGTATTTATTGTCACAAAGGAGTGTGGGATGGAAAATGGTGAATTTGGAAATAAATTCAATACGTGGGCTATTAGCTGATTGATCTCGTTTTTCCATTCTGGGCCCCCTGCCCTGTTTTTCCTCACTGGGGAATTTGCATTGCTAAGTCTCTTGTTCTTCAGGTGAAGATTATTGTGAACTGCTACTAAACAGCGTTTTTCTGTGTAGAAAGGCATAGAAATAAGTTTAGCAAGCAAAAATTGGATCCACGCATCCACACCTATGTCCCTGCAGAGTTTACCTAGAAGGTCATCGGAATTCAGACAGGGATTCCGAATTATGAGCACACCACCAGTATTATACAAAATAAAATTCTGGATTTTGCATTCAAAAGCTTGAATCTTGGCCATAAAACCCACCAAGGGACCATACTTGGCACGCCTGTCTTTTCCTTGGGTGTAATTGTTGAGAAGAGCGGGAGGACAGGAAAGGAGATGCATCTGCTGTTGAAGGAGCAAATGACAACATCTATGTTATTTTTAGGGGTGGTTTAATGGCTGTCTTCCTGCATCAGGTACTCAGAATCCCATGCTCCATTCCAGGACCTCTGACCAAGCTCTTTCTAACATACCAAATTTGGCCCTCCTACTGCTGCACCAAACATCCCGTAGGAAGTAACTCTTAACTAGTGAAAGAGTTGGGATTGTGAGCAAACTCAACCACAGAGGTGGTTGGTGGGTCTCCTCGGGCTTCATGGTGGAACTCCTTCCAAAGATGGCTTTGCTGTGGTCTGTCTTCACTTACCCCCTGCCTTTTACTTTATGTAGCAAAGCTTGTAAGATGGTTTAATAGTCTGTGGGCTTTGTATCGCCCACGATGGTCCGTCCCCATTCCGAAAAACCGCCTTTCCCAGATGGGCTGGACTTCAGCTCCCATTCTCCATCTGGAGGTCCCCAAGCTGGGGAATCCTGTTGGGATAGTCGTGGGGTGGAAGCCCGTTATGCCCAGGTGAGCTGATCTTTGGCATTTTTATGCTTTCAGTTAACTGCCTGTGTCCACGGTTCGGCTGCTTTGCTCTACCCAATGTTTTGGCAACACGTCTACATCCCTGTTCTGCCTCCGCACCTCTTAGACTATTGCAGGTAAGAATGTTTGCCTTTTCTTGGGGATCTGCCTGAGGGTCTTAGGGGCTCCAATGACTTCAAGACCCATGTTAGTTTTCTTTAAAAGGTCTCTTATCAAACTTGCATGTGTACATACTCAACAGCGGGTCTAGAGGTCATTCATGTCTGTGATTCGAAAGCATGCTTTTGGCCTTCTGGAGAGTTTTTTTTAAATAAATAGATTTAATTCTATAGGGTCTGTGTGAGAGAGCGTGTGTGTGTGTTGGCTTTGAGAGGACAAAGTATTTTTTCGTTAGTTGCTCTCTGCAAACCAAGAAGTGTTGCTTTGCTCTTTTCCTTACCCTTACTTTATGACCTAGGCTGGAAGAATTCCAGTCTTATTCACCTGGCTGAGAGAGAAGGACCTGTTGAGCTTCTGGGGCTGAGGGGGCCTGGAGCTGGTCTGATGCTGTCACCACAGCTCCATAAGCACGTGCTCTCTGTTCCTTCCCTGTGACCCCTAGTTGGACATATCTTTGGGGTCCTTTTAAACAAAATACGGGGAGGGAGGAGGCCTTGGCGGCACCATCAGAAAACTCATCCTTGCAGGAGAACACCTTGCTGTCTTGCTCTTCAAAGTTGCTTCCATCATTATCCTCAAAGGCCCCGAAACTGGCATCGGGTAGATAATCCATTCCCCAGCTTTTGAGTTTAAAAAGGGGGAAAACAGCACTGGGGGATGAGAACGGATCTCCGGGGTCTTCAGCGCAAGGAAGCAGCAGGGATCTAACTAGCATTCGAAGTGAAGTGTCAGAACTTGCTTGAAACATGTAAATTTCAAGGCGTTTTGTTCCTTGGCAGATGATTTAAAGGCTAAGTACCTTCCCCGGTTGGAGAGACAGGAAAAAAACGTCTCGCTTTGCAACCAGAAAAGGCTGGTTCCCAGTCATTTGCAAGACCAGCGTGGGCCTTTCCCTGTCTAATAGGATGCCCTCGCGCTTTCATAATGAACGCGGGGAGGGAAGCGGCTCCCGAGAGCCGAGTCTTCGGGTATTCATTGCAAGAGGCTGCTGGGTCGAGTCCCTGCCACGCAGAGGGGGCTCTGCAGGGTCGGAAGGGGCCTTGGAAGAAGCTGGCCAGTTTTTTAGCAGGCAGGGAGACTCTTCTCCAGGGGCACAAGGACCAGCCCTAGAATTTTCCTCCGGGATGAGCTTCCTCCAGAAGAGGGGGAGACCCCAGGGAGGGAGGGGGAAGAATCAAAACGGGCAGATCAGTTTAGAAATGCAGTTCAGAACAATGCCAAAAGGCTACCCCATAATTAGCGGGAAGAGTCCAATTGCACTTTTGCCAACGTAGCTGATTACGGTAGGCTGATGTGAACTTTAATTAGAACAGCCATCATACACGATACTCGCCCGGATAAATCAATTTAGCCCTAATTTGTGTGCTGTAAATACATCCCCCTTCCCCCCAAATAGCTGCCTCCATTTTTGAAACAGTGGGTGAACTCTGGAAAGGCCTTTTGGGCCCCAGAACGTCCTTCAGTGGGGCTCCCTTCTGCTTTCATCTGGCTGAGATTTTGGGGAGGGGGGCTGAAGGGAAAGAGATTGGGGATCATGTTTTGTTTTTTTTAATTTGCCTTTGAGTTTGAAATGTAAACATTGAGTGGGTATTGGGGGGGGGGTCTTGCAGCTGTGATACAGTAGATAGTGAAGCACCAGACAGGAAGCAGATGGCAAAGAGGAAAAATTTGTGATTGTTTTCCAACTAGACTTCTGCTGTTTTTCACCCCTCCAGTTTTGGAAGCTCCTGGTGATATTTCTTAATGGTCACTGGATACTCTTGGGATAATTTGAGACATTAGATCACCAGGAAAACACAGCGCAGACCCACAAATGTTTCCCGGATGCTTATATTTTGAGACTTGAGAAAAGTTTGCCCTCTCTCTTGTTTGGCATTTGGACGGAGTGCCAAACCAATGTTTCTGAGTCTAGGCTCCTTCACTCTCTCGCCTCAAACTCTTCCTTTTTTTCTGGGTTGGAGAGAGCCATGGTTGATGATCAGTGGCCCCTCAAAGCAAACCATGGAGCTTCAGCCAAAACTTGTAAGCCAGGACCACAGTCATTGATGTCAGGTTTCCCCAACCCCGATGCCTTCCAACTTCATCTGGCCCCAGGCTGGGTTGGGCTGACTTCAAGAAAAGCAAGATTTATGTATATGTATGTATGTATGTATTATTAAATTTATATGCCGCCCATCTCCCCCAGAGGGTGACTCTGGGTGGCTTACAATT